GGGCTTAGGGTTTAGGGGTTTAAGGCTTGGGGGTCTACGGTTTAGGCAAAGTGACTGTGTTTCTCGGAGTTGATCGGTGCCGGTCCAGCAGCGCCGTCCAGAAGCATCGGTATAATAGCGAGCTGGCTTGATGACAGGTTTCTTATTGTTCTGTTCTTTTCGAAAATCTTTCAGAGAAAAAGATCTAGACCAGAATCCCCTTATCATGGAAGAGCTCGACCACAGCGTCGTTCGTTTAGCTGTTGCTGATTTGAACTGGCCCATCCAAAACGAGACCTTGTAGACCTTACTGAGACTTAGATGCAGTCACACTAACCGACATGTATCCCCACAAAGAAGCACCCCTACCCAAACAATTGCACAGTTAAATACACAGCAGCTGAATAAATTCATGCATGCATGAGGCAAGGAGCAGTCAGTCTCTGACACAGCCACCGAAAACGATCGTGCCTAAGAAGTAAACTCGAGCTTGGCTGTTCGATGATGAAATTGCCCCCAGCCGCCACAGCCAGCAAACAAATCAAAGCACTCCTAAGTTGCATGGCGTATGGAAACTCATAGGTGTGTTCATACACTATGTTCAACCTGTGACACAAACGAACTTGCAGCATCGTATACCTGACATGGATTCCATAGAATCATCCTAGACACCGTGCAGCCATCAAGTTCGCCGAGGCCACTGATGTGTAGCCCGTATACCCCAGGGGGTTGACCCAACTACGTCTTGTGCTTCCCCTGCTCGCATCCACCCATGTAGAGCATGCCACTGCTAGCCAAACCACAAAACCACTCTCACGTCCCATGAGGGTTGCAGCCAGGAATGTCCTGAAGTAAAGCAACCCCAACAAACATGACATTGTATGTCTGCATGCATATATGTAAGGAACCTGAAAACCGAAAAGTGTTCAGTCGTAGGCAGCCGAAGCGACCCAAAACCAGATGATTTCAATATATCCATCCCAGGGGAATTAATCTTGTCGAGAGCAGCAGCATTGTAACCAGCTTTCCGAGCTGCCTTGGTCAAAACAGCAGCCCCGGAGAAGTGCTTCACAAAGTCCAGAGGCTCCTGCACACCCGAGTCTTAGGAGGCGGGACCACTACATCTACACTATAGGCATATAGATGTCACACTATAGATAGGGTCAAAGGACCGATCGTACCAGTATTTCCTAGCTGCAACAATCAGTCCTTGTTGCTGAGCCACAGATCTTCATTCCAAAGGACCAGGAGCACACACAGAACGAAGATCTTGGGTACGGCACTGGTAATGAAGTTAGCTTCTGACACTGCATGCACCAAGACATCACATTGACCACTGCATTCTTATAATTTCAGACGAAGCACTTTCGGCGCACCAAGGTGAAAAAGCCGTGGCACAAGGACATCTTCACTTGGAGGCATGGTGGCTGGAAGTGGGTGGCCCCAGACTGTGTACTATGTAGCTACATACCGGCCAGGATGCCTGCAGTCTTCTTAAATCTTGCACTTGGAAGTGATGATGTGCTCATTTGCCAACTATAACTGCATGCATGCCTTTGCACCTGCTATATGTACAATACAGATCAGCGAGTGAAGGACTAGCCAATCTGAGCATTCGGATGCCATGCCGGTGGATTGCAGTTCCACATGTGCAGACAGTAGCAAGCACAAAGACAGAAGTCAAAGCCCAGCCATTTGTTGACATGCATTGAGAACTGTCAAGACATGCCTGGCACACCCTGGCCCCCAGCAGCTTCCAGTTCAGCACATGACAGAACAGCGCCTGCTCTCGCCAGGCCTCGCCTTCGTTTGGATGCCATCGCGCCACTCCAAGAAGACCTTCCACAGAACACAGCTTTCACAGAACTGTGAGCTATTGGAGTTGTGAAGTCTGAGAGACCAGTGCTGGGAGAGAGATTGCAGCTCTGCATGTTGCACTTATAATTAAGCATGCTCACAGTCAGCACTACACACAAGAGACTGACCGTCACCTACCATGCAGTCATGCGATACCTGTCTACAAGCACAAAGCTGAACATCGATGCAACATCAGCTTTCTTCGCAAAGGTGGGCCACGGAGCGTGTTAGCACACTGCCAGTGTCTCGGATTGAAGGGTTTTGAATGATATTGAAACCAGCCATGACTGCTCTTAAGCCTTGGCCGTAGCAGCTAGAACCAGAGTGGTAGGACCACACAAAGGTTCCCCTGAACCCATCTCTAAGCAGCCCAAGCCACTCATGTTTCTAGTGGCTGCTGTCCCATCGATCACTGCATGCAGTGATCTAATTGATATGCTCACAAAATTCGGCTTTGTCATGATCGACAAGTCTGGCTCAGTCCGAGTCCTCGTTGTAGTAGAACTCCCTGCCCACCTGCACACATTGAGGAATCATCGGGGTATGTACGATGTATGGGATACAAGGTTTAGGGCTTAAGGCTTTTTATTTGGGTTAATTAGGGATATAGGTTTTAAGTTACGTTTAACTATGAACCCTAAAACCCCGAACCTAAGCCCCTAAGCTGTGTAAGATTGTAGAGCTGGCCTGGATGGGAAGAACCACCTTCTCTTGGACATACACTTCAGCTTGTACCAAGAAGAATGTCTTGAAGTCTCCTTCAGAGACCACGGAATCATCCTCGTCGAAGGCTTTCTTGGCCATCTTCCAGTAGTCGTACTGCACAGGGTGAAAAATCAATCAGACATAGATAGAGAAAGAAAGAGATAGCTTTAGAGATACAGAGAGAAAGTGAACAGGCGTGAGTGAGGAATGCACATAATAATCACCCACACAAATACACTCAACAACTTACGATTGAGTACATTGGGCCTCGTGCTTGGTGCGGGATCGTTCCGGGAGGTTCGGGTCAATCAACTGGGCAAAGGACTTGACAATGTGCTGCCACACCAGCCAGCCTTTGGCACCCTCAGTTTTCGGGCACCTCCGACCAGCGAACACGTTGGGAACGGCAATCTCCTCATCATTCGGGGCAGAGGGCTCCGGGGCTGCCTCCGGCTCGGCCACATCCTCTGCTGCCTCCGGCTCAGCCACATCCCCTGCTGGCTCCGACTCAGCCACAGCCACTCTCTTCCTGCGGATGCTGCGTCGCGCCATGGGCGTCACAACATTCTCCACAGGGCCATCTTGCTCACGCAAAGGAAAAACCTTCAGCGAAGGCCGGCCACCTGT